TATTATTGTTGTTCTAAATGTAAGATTTCTTGATGCTTTTAGCTCACTGTTATTTGCATATATATACTTATGTGTTTATATGTATATATGTACACTTTAAAAAAATTTTTTTAAAAATTTTTTCTGAATGCTTTTCTCTTCTCCTAGCCCTTCCCCACCCATTGGGAAGGAAAGAAATATGATATCCATTATACATATGAAGTGAGGCAAAACATATTTCCACCTTAGCCATGTTGCAAAAGAAAAGAAAAATGAAAAAATGGTCCCCATTATTTTTGTATAGAAGTTTTCTTCCCAAAACAAGCCAAAGAAAAAGTTAAGCAAAACCACTAGATCCAGTGTATGTAACATTTTATACCCATAGCTGCCTGTTTCTCTCCCAAGAAGAGAGACATTCAAGAAGGCATTTTTTTCCTCTTGAAAACTGTTACTTTATACTTTTGACATTTAAGAATGGAATGAGGAGGATATGTGAAAGTTAATATTTTTCAATTAACAAAAATCTATTTTCTTTCCCGTCCTTATCTTCTCCCCACCCCAGTGACTAAAAACAAACAAACAAAAAACCTTACATCAGTATACGTAAGTACGCAAAATCAATCCCCTCATTAGTCATGTCCAAAAATATATGAGTCCCCTGCACCTCTCTGTTAGGAAGTGGGTAGCGTGCTTGATCATTTGTCCTGTGAAAATCGTAATCCTTCCTCATCCCTGCCTCCAGGTTTCCCTGACTGCCTTCAAAGTCTAACCAAAAATCCCTACTGTCTGAAAGAGGGCTTTCCTGGCCTTCCTTCCTTCTGTGAATATTTCCAATTTATCCTCTATCTATCTTGTTTATACATAGTTATTTATGTGTTATTACTCCCCATTAGATTGTAACTTCCTTGAAGGCAGGGATTATTTTTGCCTTTTTTAAATCCCCAGTGCCTGGCACATAGTTAGCACTTTTTAACATGCTTGTTAACTGATCCACTAACTCTGTTGCATTGATCAAATTTCTTAAGTGTTTAAAAGTGTTTGTCTTTCTAATGCTGCTGTTGTTTTATAAGATGTTCTCCTGGTTCTGCTCACTTCTCTCTGTATCAGTTTATACAAATTTATCCACTATCTCCTCCATAACCTGTTACAGCAGATGGTATTCCACTGCAGTCATATACTGTAATTTGTTTAACTTGGTTTAATGGTCATCCCCCCTTAGTTTCCAGTTCTTTGCTACCTCAAAAAAAAAAAAGCTGTTTTGTCTGTATTTTAGTACATGGGGATCCTTTTCCTCTTTATTTTATCTCTTTGGGATGTAGATCTAGTAGTGGTATCGCTAGGTCAAAGGGTATGATGTTGGGCATAGTTCCAGATGGCTTTCCAGAGCAATGTATAATTCCATCAGCAGTGTAGTAATATACCTTCTTTCCTCTAGCCTTGAGAGGGATAGATAAGAAGGAAGATTCAGAAGTGGATCATAAAATCTCACTTCCCTTGGAATTTTTTCTACATTGAATGATCCAGTCATGACAGAGAATATCTCCTTTTTCTGGTCCTGCTTTTCCTTGTACTGAAAACATACTGCTTTTTGCCTTTTTGTTAATCATTTGTACATTTGGGTTCCTTGCACTGGTATAACCAAAATAGAGTACAGCATTAATTAGTTCTATCATGGCTTCATCAACTACTCTAGTTATATCTTGAAATTTTTGGATTCCTTAGCTTTTCCTGTACCTCTTTTCCTCTTTTTTCCTTTTATTCTTGGGCATTTGCTGGTTTGTGTGTGTGTGTGTGTGTGTGTGTGTGTGTGTGTGTGCGTGTGTGTGTGTGTTACACTTTAGTGTTGTCCTTTTATTACATTACTCTATTTGGAAAGAGTACACATAAAACGAATTTTCTATGGATCACCTGCTAAATCAGGAGTATTGTTTACCCCAAGATTTGTATTGTGTCCTGTTATTCATTTCATGAGTTTTGGAGGTTCCATGTCAAGGCTATTTTCTGCATGAGTTGGTGCTTTGAGTGTCGACAGAAGACCTCGTGCATTTGTAAGTGTGTGCCTTATTCATTATAGAAATGTTAAATACAACATCCTACATAATTCTTGGCTGTATTGGAAACAAAGACAGCAAAGAACTTTGGGCAAGGTGGATCACAATTTGAAAGATAACATTGTTAGTTGAAATTCATTATTTCTCTAAAAACTCATTTTCCAACTGAGTGAAGTGAGCAGGACCAGGAGAACATTTTACATAGTAACAGCAACATTGTGTAATCATCAACTATGATAGACTTAGCTCTTCTCAGCAATGCAGTGATCCAAGACAATTCCAAAAGAGTCATGATGGAAAATGCTATCCACATCTAGAGAAAGAACTATGGATCGAAGCATTACTTTTAGGTTTTTGTTCTTTTCTTTCTTGTGGTTTTTCCCTTTTGTTCTGATTCTTTTTTTTTTCTTCACAACATGACTTATGTGGAAATATGTTTAACATGATTGTACGTGTGTAGCCTATATCAGATTGCTTGCTGTCTTGGGGAGGGGGAGAGAAGGGAGGGAAGGAGAAAAAAGTTTGGAACTAAAAATCTTATAAAAATGAATATTGAAAACTATCTCTATTAATTGGGGGAAAACACCCTCATTTTCCATTAAAGAAGTGATTACCTTCCAATCATATGTAGAGCTTGTTCACATAATGAGAACAGAAACTTTTTCTTTCCTACAGAAATGTTTTTGAGAGGCACACAGATTGTACCTAATGTTGGCATCTGGGAACTGAATTCATTGTGACATGTCTGTTTGAGTTATATGAGATGTAAGTTGGCCAACTTGAAACTGTAGAAGTTAGAATATTTGCCACAGATTTCAACTGATTGATTTAGATTTGCAGCATCTGCAGACTTGCTTTGAAATATGAAAAGGAAAAATTGATCATCAAAAGAATAGTTAACATTAAAAGGAAGTAGCAATCCAGTGAGACAGCTGGGGATGCTGTAGTGCAGTGTGCTGGGCCTGGAATCAGGAAGATCTGAGTGAAAATACAGCCTCAGTCGCTTACTAGCAGTGTGATCCCAGGCAAGTCACTTACTCTTTGCTACCTCAGTTCTCACCTGTAAAATGGGGATAATAATAGCACCTACCTCCCTGGATTATAAGGATCAACTGAAATAGCATGTGTAAATCACTTTGCAAACCTTCAAGCATATAAATGCTAGTTTCTATTATTATAGCTATTATTATTAATGAATGAAAAGACACTTATTAAACACTTATTTGCCAAGCACTGCTAAGCACTGGAAGTACAAATTACAAAAGTGAAGATAGGCCCTACAGTCAAAGAGCTCTTGTGATGGGAAGGATGTGGTTACTGGAACCATGGGCCAGTATGCTGACCCATCCTTTACATTGAATAGCAAGTTTGAATCGATTCTATTTCCTGAACTGGAAATGGAGTGGGAAGGAAGGACAGTGTGGAGGATATGTATGTGATAGCCAGGCATCTGTCAAGGAAGTGTTTGGGGAATAAAATATGTGGCTAGAGTAAGTACTACACTCACTACTATATGTTTTCTGATAGACTAAATTCTGCAAACCCACGTCTAACTTGTAATTAGTTTAGCCCCAGTTTTGACTGAATGACATATATGTATATCGACATGTATGTCTGTATATATATAGACACACATACGTAGGTATACACAAATATAAACGTGTGTATATGTCTTTTACCTATATGTGGCTGCCTCCTTTCCCACCATAGATATGGATATTCATTGCCTCTGGATTTCTGATTAGTTAACATGTTGCCATAATAATTTATATTTGAATAGATGCTTCATCCTTACCAAACACTTTTCCATATATATTTTCTCTTTCAGTCTCCACTGTGTTCCTCTGAAGATGTCAGATTAGCTATAATATAGATGAGGAAAGTAAGATTCACCAAGGTCGGGGGTTGCCCAAGGTCACCCAGCTCATAGGTAAGGGTATGGGAGTGAGTCAGGAGTTGAATCAATGTCCTTGTGGTTCCTAATCCAGGCCTCTTTGCACTACTCCACGCTGCTTCTCATGAAAATAGGATTCTCTAAGTTAAGCATAGTCCCTGAAACCTCACTTTTTTTTTTCCTTATAAGACCTATAAAGTTGCTGTTTTTCAGTCATTTCAGTTGTGTCTCACTCTTCGTGACCCCATTTGGGGTTTTCTTGGCAAAGATATTAGAGTGGTTTGCCGTTTCCTTCTCTAGCTCTTTTTACTGATGAGGAAACTGAGGCAAACAGGATGAAGTGATTTGCCCAGGATCACACAGCTAGTGTCTGGAGCCAGATTTGAACTCACACAAAGATGAGTCTTCCTGACTCCAGCACTCTATCCAGTGCGCCCTCTAGCTGCCCAGTGCCATCTTTAAAGAATGAATAAACCAAGGTCTCATAGCATCCATATGGGATTTGTAGTTGTCATAGAATAGCTGAAGGAAAATAAAAGTAATATTGTGATTGAACCTTGTACATTTCACACAAGAAAAGGCTTGTCTCAAATGTACATTTAGTATCATGAACGAACAGAGTTTTGGGTTTATCCTACCATGAAGTAGAATATTTAATACTATATTTGACATTCAGAAATATACTTTACCAGACTAAAAAACAAAACAAAAACCAACATGTAGGAAGTGGCCTCCCAGAGTTGTTTTCTGTATTTTTAGTTTTGATTTTTAAATTTTAGCTTCATTTTAAGGCTGTATGTAGGTTAAGGGAAGGAAAATAGTGGAGATATTTCAGAGAATGGATATGGTTTCATATTTCAACAAATGCTGTTGTTGGGTAGTTTTCCTCAAATTACTTCAGCACAGCCGTCATCCACAGAAAGGAAGACAATATTGTACAAAGGTCTTAGAACAATATGTACTTAGGGGAGAATGTAAACACATTTCTCTGATCTTTTCATTTTGTCTTATAGCTGCATAAATTCTAATAAGCCGTCCTTCCAAAGACTGTTTCTGGTTTCTCTCATTTTATGCAGGGAAATGCACACAAAATTCTGGATAAGTGCACATTACCGCTTACTGGGAAGCAATGTGTGAACCGTATCATTACTGAAAAGGTAAAGTGCTTTCCTTTTTTCTTTTCCTTTGCCTGATAGCATCTATCACCATGTCATTTTTATTTGAAAGGACTATTTCAGTTGCATATAGCCTCCCTGGAAATGTAAATTGCATACATAGAGTTCTCTTCCTCCTCCTCCTCCCCCTGCTCCTACTTTTGCCCCTTGGGGCCCAAGCAGAACTAGCCTGGACCCTCTTCCAGGTAACATAGATAACTTTTCAACCACTTGAAGACAACTCTTACAGTCCAAAACCCCGACTCCAGATTTCTCTTTTCTACGCTAAAGAAAGGGGAAAAGGTTTATATGGATTTATTTTCAAAGTGCTGCTTCTTCCAGGCCACTCTGGGAGCAAAAGTTATCTGGTGTTCATCTAAAAGGTAAGATAGGCTGATGAAAGTTAAGAGAAAGTGTCTGCCATTTTGTGCACACTGGATATTTTTTATGAGTTACTTTTACAAAACCTACATAAATATTGCCCTAAGGGAGTTGACTGTGAGCATATCATAGAACAGAATAATTCTTAAGACTGGTGATGTCTAGAAAGCTCATTTCATCCACTTTCTAAGAAGACATAATTTAAAGTCCATTATGATTTCTTATACAGAAAGTTCTATCACATAGGGCAGCTGGGAGGAGCAGTAGATAAGAGCACTGTAATTGGAGTCAAGAAAACCTGAGTTCAACTCACATGGCCTCAAACACTCACTAGCAGTGTCACCCTGGGCAAGCCACTTAATCTATTTGCCTCAGTTTCCTCATCTGTGAAATGGGGAGTAATGTATATTCACAAGGGATAGCCCAGTCTATCTTCAGACTACTATGTAACCTGATAGCCCACATTTGCATATTCAAATTCTTTATTCCAAACAAATAGGGCTGGTTGTTTCCTTGAAGGAGTTATATAGACGCCCACCATCTCTTCACTTTTGCTTATACTGTTTCTCTTCATCTGGAATATCCTCTTTCCTTTCCACTTATCAATATGGTACCCATTTCAAGGTCAAATTCAAGGCTTCCTCTCCCTTATGAAGCTTTCTGGGGCCATTATGAATCACGGTAATCCCTTTCCTCTGAACTTGGAGCTCCTATTATCTATATTACCCATTTGGCACTTGTCATAAACTGCCCTGGGAAGTCTTTAATATTGCTGTCTTTATTGTTATTCAACTCTTATTTTATATAATGTGCCCATATCTTATCTCCCCAACTATATTATTTAAATTTAAGTTACTTAAAAGCAAAAGACCCCATCTTCGAGTTCTTTGTATACCCTCTTTCCCTCAATAAAAGACTGGCCCTGGACTATGGACATAGGAGGTATTCACTCCTTAAGTATCTGTTGAATGAGGGATGAAAGATTCTTCAGCACTAAGAGTCATAAGGATGCCCTATGTGGCCACAGACGTGAGAGGGGGTAAGGAGGGAAGAGAGAACTCCTCAAACAACTCTGTAAAAATTCCATTAGTGGCCTTTTGAAAGAGGAGGAAGCTGGGATTCTTGGAACCATCACTCCTTTTATTAGTGCAGCCAAAGTGTGAAAGATGGCTCCCCACGTGGAAGCCTATGCCACTATTACTGGTTTTATTTCTCTGAAAATCTCTCTGTAGTGCAATCCTGCTGTGATAGGGAGAGGATAATGAACAAACCCTTCTGGAGGAAAGTGGCTCCTCTTTTCTGTTTTTTAGATGTAATGGTGAGATGGGTTTTCTCCTGGTAGATCTTCACTGTTACTTGGTCTTTGTTTACTTTCTCTGCTGCCAGCTGGAATTCCTCATGGGGTTACAGGGAAGTTAGTTTCCCCATCTAATAACAGGCACCTTACTTTCCCATCGATGTTCTCTAGACTCAATTGCAGCACGAGGCATGTGTAAATAAAACAAGCCACAAGCCAATTTGCCCTAGTTTTAATTTTCCTTATACTTAGAGCTTACCTTAATGCTAACAGCACCTTATTCATTATTCTAGAAAATTCCATGTCCTATATTGTTTTAATGACTTGACCCTAAGGAGTTTTCTTTCCTTCTTGTCTGTTCCCTTTTTGTAAGTGTGCATTTATTCTTAATTCAGGACAGAAGAGATCAGGATAGATTGTGCCCCAGACACATTTTCTGCAAAGGAAAAAGATTTCCATTTTCGTGGTTTTAATTGTCATTTTGAAATTAAACAAGTCATCCAAAGCAGTATAAAGAAACATTTCCATAATGATCATTTTTATTATCCAAACAAATATCTGTTCGGGAGTGTGGGTTTAAATTTTTTTTTTTAATGTGCAAGAACAGATTGGTAAAAACATCGTGGTTTTAAAATTTAGCACCCTTTTCCTGTGGAATCAACTTAGTTTAGCAAATGAAGAAGAGCACCTACTCCTTTCCATCCCCCTAGGTATTCTGCTCATCTTTGGGGAAAAGTTACTGCTCAGAAATTCTCTCCAAGTTGTCACATTAAAGCTATTGTAAGGTAATTATCTAAAACATAAATGGAAACAAAAGCCCTTAGCAGTCAAGCTGCCACAAGCTCCAGAAGAAGTGTGTATCTGCAAATGATTGTGAATACATTGCACTTCCCTGAGGTTTATGCAGACGTAAGTTCTGAACCTAAATAACAGCTAAATTGTATACAAAGGAATCATTAGATTCATCAGAATAGAATCTAACCATTCCTAAGATAAAGGCCCTTTAAAAAGTGTCATGTGAGGAATGGTTGAAAGGGGTTTGTTTAGCTTGAAAATTAAGGAACAGCTTGACTCAACTTAAAATATTTGGAGGGCTGTCATGTGGAAGGTAGATTAGAAGTAGATACTTACTTTACATCTCTGGAGGGGAGAATTAGGACCAGCAGATAAAAGTCACAAGAACATACATTTCAGATCAACTTTTAATATTTAGTTCACTTTTAATATTTAGAGCTATCTAATATTATATATTGGCATTCCAGGTAGTAAGTTTCCTATCACTAGAGGTATTCAAGGAAAGAATGAATGACCATCTGATGTGAGCCGTATGAAAGAGATTCCTTGATTCAGTTGGACTAATGGGAGCCTAAAGGCACTCCAGCTCTTGATTTTAAATGTGGAAGTGTTTGTTTTGAATCTGAAACATCATCCCTCCAAGTGTACCTGTTGGGCCTAACTTACCCTAACCAGCACCATACCTTCTTAAGATTCAGATACCTTCTCAGTCACATTCTTGGGCAAGTCATTTAATCTGTCTTAGCCTCAGTTTCTTCATCTGTAAAGTGGGAGGGGAGAAGGAATAAGCTTTTATTAAGCACCTGCTGTGTGCCAGGCATTAGGCTAATTTGCTTTACACATATTTTATCATTTGAAAATGGGGATAGTAATAGCACCTACCTCACAGGGTGGTTGTGAGAATCAAAGAGATAACATGTACAGCGAAACCTTAAAGCTGTGTAAAAATGGTAGCTATTCTTAGCAATCCTTCAGCTGTGCTATGGCTCCTTCCTCTTTCTCTTTTAACTTTTTATCCCTAGCAACATATAATACTTTCCTGGGCCTTCCCCTTGTAACAGCTTTTATTCATTATTATATCCATTTTGATAGAAATTTTCTAAAATGGAGAATGTATTTTCCTGCCTTAACAACATTCCTTGATAAGTAAAAGTCACTGATGCTGATGTAGTCAGTACAAACACCACTTGTGGTGCAGGAGAATAAAAAACTGCACTTCTGTCAAGACCATGGGGTGTACTGGGAAGAGCTTAGGACTTAGGGGGAGACTTGGATTCAACTCTCAGCCCCTGTCCTTTCTACCTTTGTGACCCCTTCCAGCTGGTATTTATATTTTTATCTTTTGGAACTGATCTGTGATGTCCATTGGTATCAGTGATGCTGACACTTCCTTATGAAGAGGCCTCCTCCCATACCAGTGAAGAGGCCCTCAACCAGTGAGGGGTGACCTTCTTCTCAATTATAGTTTTCTCAAATTATAGTTTTATTTGCCCAGGACACTAAGAAATTAAGTTGTAATGACCAGGATCACACAGCAAGTATGTGTTAAAAGGCAAAAATTGAAGCCAGGCCTTCTTGACTATGGCCACCTACACTTGACCATCCATTACTCTATGCTGTTTCTATTAGTTTTTTTTAATGAATGCCTGTATTAATTTATTGTCCCGTGTTTGATTAGTGTCAAAAAAAATTTTCTTTTTAATGTTATTTAAGCTGTTATTAGCAAATAAATGCCATTACTATTCACCACTGGTGTATTTTCTAGCATCCACTCTTGGACATGTAATTACTGATTAGGAAGTTAGTACGTGTTAACCATAGATGATAGTCTCACAGTTTCAGACTGCTAATTTTTTGGTTCCTTTTGATCTCTATGCTTGTTTTCTCCTTTAAAAACATGAGTTGTCATTTCAGGTTTCTTTGCCTCATGTTATAAAATTATTACCATGCTAAAAATTATTGTTGCCACTCGCTTGAATCTGACAGGCCGTGTTTGATGTGGACAAGGAAAAAGGGTTGACTTTGGTTGAAATCTGGGAAGGACTGACAGTGGACGACATAAAGAAGAGCACTGGATGTGATTTTGTTGTAAGTATTTATGTGCGTAAATGTAGCCATTCATCCTCTATAATGAGCCTGATTAATGGGTAAGTACAGGACATAAACTGTTAATTTGTTATCATTTTTAGATTTGACCTTTCAGATACACAAGAGTGGAAGGAAGGGGTGGTCACAGATTAGATCAGGTGGGAACAGAAAATCATGCACTGACTCATAGGGGAGTAATAAAAGTCGGGGAGGGGAGCATGTGAATGGGAGGGTGGTGGGGTTTAGATCAGGAATTAATTGGAAACACAAGAAAAAGAGCAACTAGGTAGTTGGAAACAGAAGCTAAGGACGGGCTGTAATTTATTCTCTGAAAACTCTTCTAAAATCTTCCTAAGTGGCAGTCAGGAGATACTATAACCTAACTGTGTGACCTTCACATGAGGAAGCAAATCTTCCTGGTTTCTCTCAGCACATGATAGTAAATCAATCAGAGAACTGCTACCTAGTGAAGGTTTGTGGATTTGATTACTGCAAACCTTGAAGAACATTTAGGGAGGGTTCTAATCTGGAATTATACTACTATGTTTCATTTTAAGAAAATGATTCAGACTAGCAGCAGGTAAATTATGAGGGGGAAGATAATTAATATTATAAAATAATTTCTCTTGCTTTAGAAAAAAAAACTGGGGGAGGGGATGAGCTTTAAATTGGAGCACATGGAGTGATTTGGGAGCATACTTAATCTAGTAAGGCTATACATATGTAAAGGGATGAAATAAGTTTAAGATTAAGTACTCCTTCATAGACCACTAATCTTCTCTCAGCTTGAGAGGGGAAAGGAGAGGAGGAAAGGAAGGAGTTAGGAGGACTTGCTGATCAAAGATAATAAAAAATGAAGACAAAAACATCTCTCAAGTCAGGAGTAAAAAGATTTCATTTGCGTACAACTTTTCAAGAAGACTTATTCTGTGTGTGGTGAGGTATATATCTGAAGAAAATAGAAAAACTCAGTTGCTACAGGATTATCTAACCTTCAGAAAATCATTCACAAAGGGGATTTGGTAAATCATGAATACATTTATTTCTTGGGTCCTGAATGGCTTGTACCTATCAGAGTATAACAAATTGCTGTGAAAACAGGTTTGCTGCATAATTCATTACTCACATATATAACTATTCATGGTACTCTGCCAAGGTCCTTGTCCATTAACCTTTTCTGAATTTCCCTTAGAAAATACTCTTCTAGCAATACCTTGCACAAAGAGCCCCTCTTTAATTAGCTCTCCAGTAACTACAGAGGAGAAATAGAATTTGTCTGTACTTTATTCTAGACTTTAATCCTAGCGGTAGAGTAGCAAAACTTATTTAATAAGACATTCTTTAAATCAACCCATGTGAATTAGCAAACTTCCCCTTCATAAGGTAATAGTATATATTTTTTTAGATGCAATAGATACTATATAGCAAAGGAGATTGGAAAAAAAGACAGACCCTGGTCCTAGGGTACCTCTGTTCTAAATTTGTGGACAAATATGGAATGAAAAAAGATGGATTATTGGACTGATAGAATTTGTACTTCTTACCTCTGGTCGATGTTTTTCATACAGTCCACTCTTTTCACCTGGCATAGCTGAGAAATATGGCCTGGTTAAGTAGGTGTTCTGATAAATGCCTAATAATTTTCCAAGGATTTTAAAGCAACAAGATATGCTTAATAATAAAATTATGCTGACTGTGGCTTAATACCTTTTTATTATTATGATATGAGTATAACTCCTTCTTGACTCTTACACGGTCATCATTGTGAATGCTAGTTATCAGTGTACTATAGACATATAGGAATGCCAGCTACTGGAGATAGCTACTTAACAGAATACTAAATGAAAAGGTAAAAACAAGACTATAATACCTCAGTGCATATTGTAGAGGTGGTTCTTATTCAGGTATATGTTGGACCAGGTGGTTTAAGGGAGGCATATTGGGTCAGTGGAAAGAGCACTGAGTTTGGAGTCCAAAGACCTGGGTTCAAATTCCAGCTCTTCCATTTTCTGTCTGTAAAGGTTGGGAATGAAGGAGTTAAGAGGTGGTGTATGAAAATGAACCAAACTATGAGATGGCATGTTTTGGGTTAAAAGTTAGTAGTCCAGTAGGGCAAGAACATAGAATATGTAAGAGGAATAAGGTAAAGTGCAGACTTGAAAGGGAGGGTAGAATCAGATTAGAGAGGTCCTTAAAAGCGAGGGTAAGGATTTTATATGTTATCTTGGAGGCAGTGGAATGTTATAATCACTTTTGTACCTTAGGAAGATTATTTGGCACCTGTGTGAAGTATGTATGAGAGGGGGAGAAACCTGAAGCAGGGAGAACAGTTAAGAGGCTATGCTAGTGGTCCACACAAGGGCTGATTAAGATTGAACTAGGACAGGGGCTGATTTTATAAATAGAGAGAAGGGGACAGATGTGAGGAGGAATGGCTCAATTGTTAGGACTTGCCACCTAATTGGATATTAGCAGGAAAGGAAAGAGTCAGAGGTGACTTGAAGGTTTCCAACTCAGTACACTCAACAGAAACAGAGAAATTTGCAGAGCAGATGGGTTTCCATTGAAAAATAATGTTTTACCTTTTGGATGCAGCATCATAACAACCTACATTTACAACTGGAAGAGACCATGGAATCCAACTTGCTCATTGTATAGATCAGTAAACTAAGCCCTCTTTTCCAATGACTCCCAAATCTAAATAGATTCATGACTCACTTCTTTCCTAAACTCATTTGATATGATATGATAGATAGATAGACAGACAGATAGATAGATAATAATTACTTAGTTGTGTATATATTGTCCCTCTAGTAAAATGTAACCTCTTCAAGGGCAGGAACTGTTTCATTTTTGTCTTTGTATCCCCAGTGCCTAATACAGTGCCCAGCACATAGTTGGTGTTTAATAAATGCTTGATGCATTGGTGTTTAATAAATGCTCGATGATTTGTTAGATGGTTTGTGATCTCACTGGTCTAGGTATTCCTTCTACCAGTCTTGATTAGATGCTTTCTTATCCTGTGAGATTATTGTTCATGTTTTGCCTCATACTTGGGTTCTCTGAATTTTCTCTGAATATTTTGCCGGTAAGTTCAATGCTTGGGCTGTCATCCCTTGCTCTCAGTATATAACTAGCCCATATAGTTTACCTGTCATATGTGTAACTTGACATATATTAAGTTACTTCTTGTGTGTAAGTCATTGATAAGATATTATGGTCTAGTAGTAGCATTGCTTATAATTTTGGTCACAGTGCACAATTTGGGGTCAGAAGACATGGGTTCGAATCATAGTTATTACTACCTGTGAATCTTTGGGTAAGTTATATAAAATCAATCTATCTATCTATCTAGTCAAATGAGTTTGAGAGTCATTGGACTATCCAGGTAGAGATGTTCACCAGGCATTTGGAGACTTCAGCTTAGAGTTTAGGAAAGAAGTTAGTCATGAATAAATAGATTTGGGAGTCATTGGCAGAGAGTTGATGATTGAACTGATGGGAACAGATGATATCACTCTGGGAAACAGTGTAAAGAGAAGAAAGACGGGCAGTGCCTTGTTATACTGGGTGCCTACAATATTCCCAGTGCCAATCCAGGTATGATGGGGGATACAGAGGAAGATGAAAATGTTGTCCTTCACCTTAAAAGACCTTGGTCCTCTTCCTGGCAAGGCTATAGCTAAACCTTGAGGGACAGGTCTATACTGCTTGTCTACTTGTCTGCAGTGGTATCTCAAAGAAACCAGATACAGACATTCCTTGCCAAAGGGAATGGATTTATATTCACCCATATCTATTATGAGCTGGTATTATGTCAGGAAGAGAGTATACTCTAAGGATTTCAGTGGGTTGAGAAGACAATGCATTGGACATTGGCTTAGCTCCCACACTTAAATCCTCTTCTGCTTAGCTAGTAGATCACCTTGGCAGGGTAATCTGCTTTCGAATTTATGGGCTTATAACTCTGATGAAACTATGAAGGAACAGAATGAGAAATTGTACTTTTAGTAGATGTTTTTCATTATAAAAATAGACAGGCAAAGTCAGTCTACATAAAGATTCATCTTCCTCCTTTTTTTGTAAAAGCCAGTCAGTTTCCACATCAAGGGTACGAACAACATTAGAAGCTCAAAATAGGTCTGACGTGACAAAGAAAAGAATCAGATGTTTCATTAAAAAAATTAAGCTGTCCATATTCCTTTGAGAGGAAATGTTATAAACCATCTATTAGAAATCATCTGTTTTCAACAGAAGAGTTTTATTTCATTAAGTTATTCCCACAGATGTTCCGTTGCTTAAAAAAGAAAATGGATTGTTTCTGAGACTGCCTTGTTTAAATACAAAGAGCCATGTGTCTTTCCTTGTACATGGTAGAGAATTCTCATTGATAACAACTGGAGATCCATGCAAATGTAGACATTTCCTTTTTGCCTGCTTCTTACAAGTCTGTCTTGAGACGGGCATATGTTCTGGGGAGTGGGGGAAATGATTTTGTGCTAAATACACAGTTTGAATAGTAAATCCTTTGATAGTGAAATTGAAAGATGGTGTAAAATTCAGCATTATGAAATGTCAATTCAGAGACAGTTTTCAGGTGAACCTAAAAAAAAAGAAAGAAATGAATTTGTAAATAAGTGATGTGTTCTCCTCTCACACATTAATTTACTAATGTAATACATTCTTTAAGGGCCTGGATTAATCAGGTCAAAAGCACGACAAAAACTCTGAAACATGGGTAAGCACTAACAGGTACATTGACATAGGCTTCAGTCTAGTGTTGTCAAGCAGGATGATGCATTATTTAAAGATGGTGAGTTGGCCACAGAATCCTAAAGCAAGGGGTGACTCTAAGGAGTAATCTGCTCTACCTCTCCTGCTCCTTTGGCCATGGACACTTGGCCTTGAGATAATTTGAAGAAACCAATGATAGTCGATCTAGGAAACCTGAGAATTTAGGTTAGAATAACCTTAGAATAAAGGGCAAAGGGTTGCAGAAG